ACTAAAATGTTTCCTAAAAACAGCAATTAAAAAACAAAACAAATTTATTACATCATATATCATTAGGATAAAATAGCAATCTGTTAAAGTTTTAAAGTAAAAAAAAAAAAAGTAGCCTACTATCATTCATTAGACGAAAAACAAACTGGCCTGCACATTCAACTGTCCTTAGTCACAATTTGGCCATTTCAATAAAAATGAATAATTAAAACATAATAATAATAATGTTATTAATAATACAATAATAATTAATTCGTTACATTTTTTCTAGCCTCTTTGGTTAAAAAAGTGCATTTGAAATTTCCTGAATATCAACAATAGCCAAAATATATTCAAATTAATTTAATATAGATTATAGGTAGGTAGGTAGGTAGGTAGGTAGGTAGGTAGATAGATAGATAGATAGATAGATAGATAGATAGATAGATAGATAGATAGATAGATAGATAGATAGATAGATAGATAGATAGATAGATAGATAGATAGATAGATAGATAGATAGATAGATAGATAGATAGATAGATAGATAGATAGATTATAATTGGACTATCATTTGCATTGCTTCATGAGATTGCATGAGTACACCTTGTACCATAGCACAATCATATACAGTACCATAGCTGACAATTTTGACCAATTGTCATTTGTAATATTGTGATACTTGTCATAGCTGGTTCATGGTTTTTACTGCTTTACTTTTTTATTCTCAATGGCATGCGGTTATCCACTCTGGTTAATCTAATATTACAAATCTGAATCCGAGGGTCTAATTTTAGAACATGTTTCTTCTGTAGTGTAGAGTATTGGCTCTGATTTTGCTTTATTCTGTAGTAGACTGATCTTTTCGTAAAGCTGTGGTGGCTTGACAGTTGTAGTGGCTATAAGAAGAGCGGCAGACACAGCTGAACATGAGAGGAAAGAGATAGAGAGGTGGAAACCTGATGCTAAAGGAATGACCCTTGGATAAGAAATAGACATGCTGGACAACCCATGCATTCCACTGATTACTGCTTGGGCACGGAAGAGGGAGACTGAGATAGAAAAGAGATCAGCAACGACACGTTTGACATGTAGACACGCTTTACATAATCAGTGCTCTCATGTCATTCCAAACATGCATAACCTTCTTCTGTTGAATACAATCCATATACTAACTAGGGTTATCCTTCAGTGAACAAATAGTAGCCTATAAAAAAACAACAGTTCCTCTAGATTCCAACTATTCCAAAAGCTTGCACTGATGATACTGTATGAGTTCTTTATGAAACCATGCAGAACACATTAGCAGGTGGATTTTGCTCTTAGTTTTCTGATCTTATCAAAGGTCCACTTCTGGGATGCTCTCTTGCAGACCTCAGTTGTAACAAGTGGTTATCGAGTTTCTTGATTCACCTCTGACCTCTGGGATCAACAAGGCATTTCACAAACAAAACTGCTGATCAATGGATCATTTCTCTTTTTCTGAACATTCTGTATTTTAATTGTTCATCAAAATCCCAGTCGATTAATCCATATATCACTAGGGTTAAGGGTACACAATATTCATGGTGATCAGGTACAAGAACAATGTTTAGCTCCCTAATGAATCTTTCAGTAAACAAATAGTAGCCTATAAGAAAAACTCTACAGTTCTACATTCCCATTATTCCAAAAGCTTGCATTGATGTCAGGAGGAACCATACAGAACACATTAGCAGGTGGATTTTGCTTGTAGTTTTCTGATCTTATCAAAGGTCCACATTGTTCTGGGATGCTCTCTTGCAGACCACAGTTGTAACAAGTGGTTATCGAGTTACCTGATTCACCACTGACATCTGGGATCAACAAGGCATTTACATGAACAAAACTGCTGATCAATGGATAATTGCTCTTTTTCTGAACATTCTGTATTTTAATTGTTCATCAAAATCCAAGTAGACCAATCCATATTCTTCTTAGGGTTAGACCGTATCCATGGTGATCATGTACAAGATTAATGTTTAGTTCCTTAATGAATCTTTCTGTGAACAAATAGTAGCCTATAAAAAAAACCTACAGTTCTTCTACATTCCCACATTCCAAAAGCTTGCTATGATGTTATGACTTCTTTATGGAATCATACAGACCACATTAGCAGGTGCATTTTGCTAGTACCAGGTTTTCTGATCTCATCAAAGGTCGACATTGTTCTGGGATGCTCTCTTGCAGACCTCAGTTGTAACAAGTGGTTATCGAGTTACCTGATTCACCTCTGACATCTGGGATCAACAAGGCATTTACGTGAACAAAACTGCTGATCAATGGATCATTTCTCTTTTGAACATTCTGTATTTTAATTGTTCATCAAAATCCCAGTGAACTAATCCATATACTTATTAGGGTTAATGTTAGACCATATTCATGGTGATCATGTACAAGATCAATGTTTAATTCCCTAATAAATCTTTCAGTAAACAAATGCTAGCCTATAAAAAACAGTTCTATATTCCCACTAATCCAAAAGCTTGCTATGATGTTGGGAGTTACCATGCAGACCACATTAGCAGGTGCATTTTGCTAGTACCAGGTTTTCTGATCTTATCAAAGGTCCACATTGGTTTTGGATGCTCTCTTGCAAACCTCAGTTGTAACAAGTGGTTATCGAGTTACCTGATTCAACTCTGACATCTGGGATCAACAAGGCATTTCACAAAACTGCAGATCAATGGTTAATTTCACCTTTTTAATTATTTTTTTTTTTTAAGATTCTGTATTTTGATCATTCATCAACATTCCAGTAGATCAGCAGTCTGTGAAATACTCAGACAAGCTCATATGGCATCAATAAAACATGCCACATTCAAAGTCAGTTAATCCCATTTCTCCCCCATTATTATAGCTGTTTGAACATTTCTACAAGCCTACACAGAGTTGCTGCAAGTCTGACTAGCAATTTGCATTAATAAACAGTTGAAAATCTATGTTTTGGACCCCATTGTTTTTTCACTGTATGTGCAAAAACAGAAATAAAATGCGGCAAATATCTTCATGGTCAACAAAGAAAAATAATTGATTATATTTAAGCAAAGGGGTGGCATGAGCGCGTGAATGTGAATGTGTGGGTGCATGTTTCCCAGTACAGGGTTGTGGCTGGAAGGCCATCCGTTGTGTAAAACATATGCTGGAATAGTTGGCTGTTCATATTTGAGCATAGCAGTGGTAAAGCATAAACACTGAATCCTTTCAACATAATTGGACATACCAAAGGCAGAATACATACTAAACAATAAACTGAAACATCTGCCACGACATTCCTCATCAATCCCAAACTTCCACAAAGCAGACATACAGCACACTATTGACTTTCATTTGAATCAAGTACTTTTATTTCTATTTCAAATAAATGCTTCTGTTATATATATATATATATATATATATATATATATATATATACAGTTGAAGTCACAATTATTAGCCCCCTTTATTTTTCTTTTTTAAATATTTCCCAAATTATGTTTAACAGAGCAAGGACATTTTTACAGTATGTCTGATAATATTTTTTCTTCTGGATAAAGTCTTATTTGTTTTATTTTGGCTAGAATAAAAGCTGTTTTTAATTTTTGAACACCATTTTATCGACAAAATTATTAGCCCCTTAAAGCTATATATTTTTTCGATAGGCTACAGAACAAACCATCATTATACAATGACTTGCCCACTTACCTTAACCTGCCTAGTTAACCTAATTAACCTAGTTAAGCCTTTAAATGTCACTTTAAGCTGTATAGAAGTGTCTTGAAAAATATCTAGTAAAATATTATTTACTGTCATTATTAAAGATAAAAAAATCAGTTATTAGAAATGAGTTATTAAAACTACTATGTTTATAAATGAGTTGAAATAATCTTCTCTCGCTGTTAAAAAGAAATTGTGGGAAAAATAAACAGGGGGCTAATAATTTAGGAGGGCTAATAATTCTGACTTTAACTGTATATTAAAATAGAAAAACAATATTACATCTTAGTAATGATCCACAATATTTTATACGTTCCATAATTAATATAAGAAATATTTGAACGTAATATTCAAATGTAATATTTAAAAGTAACATTTAAACGTTCAATAAGTTTTTAGTGAGCAAATGACACTTCAAACACTTTTAGAAAAATTATACCAACCTAAAACTTGTGGTCAGTAATGTACTCTTTGGCATTATTGGTTCAAATAGTGCAAAATTGTTCTTTGGATCGTTAAAGTATTTTTCAAACTAAAAAAAAAAAAAAAAAGTCCTTTAAAGAAATCATCCCTGAAAGGTTTTTTAGGGAACCAAAAGAAACTTTTCTACAGTATGTTATTGCTACAAAACCCTATTTTTGCCTTTATTTTAAAGATTGTGTGTGTACAAAACAGGTAAAATGTTTCCTACTATAGAGAAAATACTAATGCAAACATTTACTTTCTACTGTCCACACATGTAAGATGGTGGAATGGGCTCTAATGCAGGTTAAAAATGACACACGGGAGGCTTTTAAAGCCATCAAATGTAGGTAATATCGAGTTAATGGATCTCCTTGTAAGCTGCCGCGTTTTGGCCATGGGAAGTCAAGGCAGGATCAATATCAGGTGCTGGTAACCTGCTAAGAGCTTTTAGGAACAGAAAGCTCATTATGTGATTGCACAATGCATTAAGGGGTTCCTGGATCCTCCAGTGCTCTTTATGTCCATGAAACAGCCATTGAAACTTTAAATGCAACATATAGGCATTGGTATTTGGTGTTTTGTTTTTGCCAACTCGTTATCAATAATATATAGATGCCTAAGTGCATATCTCCAATTGCACAACTGGAACTAAGGGTACATCTGCTGTTATCGATCAAGAATAGCAGAAAGAAAAAAATAACAACGACCTGTCTGTAGCCCATTTGTGTTCATTCAAAATGACCATCCCATTCCCAGGAGCAAATGTGTTTTTTATTCCTGCAAAGCTCTAGAGGTTTTAGGACTAAGTGCACTAATATTTAAAAATTCTTTCTGTATTTCAGTTTGGATCCAGTCAGTCCAAGCCCTCATGATCCTTTCAGTCATCTTCAGCTTCCTGTCTCTCTTCTTGTTCTTTTGCCAACTCTTCACGCTTCAGAAGGGCGGTCGCTTCTTCCTCACTGGAGCATTCCAGATCTTAGCAAGTAAGTATTGTGGCATCTTGATGCGAACATGGCACTCGGAATCCACCATAATGGAAAATTTAGTTGATTACAATAATCAATAATAATAACCGATAACTCTCTTTAATTAGAAGTAGATAAGAATACATAGCCAAAAAAAAAATTTAAAAATCTAAACAAATGTAATACACAAGCAATTTTATTTTAAAAACTTAAATTAATTCAGATTTTTTTGATGTTTGTGTATTGTACAAGGGATGTAACGCAATGGATATAATAGCCGATACCATAACCGATAACTCTATAATTGGAAGCTAAGAACCAATACATGAGCCTGCAATTTTAAAAAAAATATTTGTAAGCCAATAACCCAAATGTAGACCAGTAAATAAATAAATAAATAAAAAATACGATACTTGATGTTAGCATGGCCCTAGGGTTGTCCTGAAATGTATATAATAGTTGATAACCTTAACAGATAACTCTTTAAATTTGGAAATCAAAAACCAATATATAGTCCAAAAAAATTCCAAACAAATACAAGTAATTTTATTTTAAACCTTAAATTTATTGTGACTTCTTGATGTTAGCATGGCATCAGGGATGCCCCTCGATGTATATAATAGCTGAAACCCATAACCGTTAATTCTGATAACTCTTTTAAGTCTTTTTATTTGGAAGCCGATAACAAATACATAGGTCAGTAAATTACAAACAAATACAATATACAGTACAAGCAATTTTATTTTAAAACCTTAAATTAATTGTGCAGCTTGATGTTACTGTAGCATGTCACTAGGGATGCACCGCAATGTATATAATAACCGATACCATTAAACGATAACTCTTTATATTTGGAAACCAATAACCAATACATAGGCTAGTAAATTCCTAACAAATACATTAAACAAGCAATTTTTTATTTAAAACTTTAAATTCATTGTGACATCTTGATTTTAGCATGGCACTAGGGTTGTCCTGCGATGGACATAATAGCGATATACCGATAACTCTTTAAATTTGGAAACCAATAACCAATACTTAGTCAGTGCTCGAAATTGCGACCATTTTGGCTGCATATGCACCTAAAATTTTATCTATGCGACCTCAAAATATATTTGGGAGCATTTGTGCGACTGCATAAAATTGATGTGATGCGAACAGTTTTCACAGCAAAATGTTTACCAAATGCATGGAATTAGGAGGCATTCAAGCATTAAGCATCTTAGCACCCAAAAACATTAAACGCAGCGCTCAGGAATGGTTTAAAACAGTTGATGTGAACTTGCTGCAGTAAACAAAGCCCGCAATGCCTGCCCTGCCTTCAAGCTCTTCTTAGCCACCACTCTTGGCCCACTGCTCTGGAACACAACGCGAATGGATTGGTTAATATCAGCTGTCAATCCCTCAGTTCCGATGACAAGGAGCTACAGTCACGAAAATGTAAAAGTCTGGATACGAGAGAATGAAAACAACACTGACAGATTTAATTTTAGAGAACACCTAAAGTTACATATAATGACACATCTGATTAGTGATCATTTAATGAATGTCAATTTAGCATTTACACTTTTCGAAGAGTGGATAAAAGACTTCCAGTGTTTAAAGTCCACTATGAAAATGACTAAAGAATTCACCGTAAAGCCGGTGGGACGGGGTTCTCAGGTAACGGTGATTGCCAATGAATCTACACATTAAGCACAAGATGTCCTACTGTTATTTAATCCTTCATTTAATCGTCACGATGCTGTCAGTTGTGGGACTGACACCACATTCACCATATTCACCACATTTAATAGTTGTTTTTTTTCAAGAGCATGCATTCAACGAGATGAAACTAATATTGCAGCTCATGAAAAGACTGTTATTGCTATTAAGATGACGCATGCAAATAATGAGTTATATGTCAATATCATCTGTGCAATATCAGACAGCACCCGTAAGAACAGCACAGTGATTATTGTTAATTCAGTTCATCTCATTCACGTCAAGCAGTGTGTGCAGGGCTGATGAGCATGCATGCATGCGGATTTTTGTTTATTTGTTAGTTGTGATTAGAGTGTTAATATATAACAGAATCTGTTAATATGAAATGTGTAGTAACGGTGCTCATAATTTTTGGTGGGTGTGACTAAATTTTGGTTGGTGATATTTTTGAAGTTAGGAGCACCTGTGCTACCAAGAAAAAAAAGTAAATTTCGAGCCCTGATAGTCCAAAAAAAATCCAAACAAATACAATATACAAGCAATTTTACTTTAAAACATTAAATTCATTGTGCAGCTTGATGTTAGAATGCCGCAAGGGATGCACCGCAATGTATATAATAGTCGATACCATTAAACAATAACTCCTTATATTTAGGAACTGATAATAACGAATACATACACCAGTAAATTCTAAACAAATACATTGAGCAAGCTATATTTTATTCAAACCCTAAATTCATTGTGACTTCTTGATGTTAGCAAGCCACTAGGAATGCACTGCAATGAATATAATAGCCGATAACCATAACCGATAACAATTTGAAGTGGTATTTGAACCATTGAACCATTAGTGGTAGCCTAATAACAAAACCTAAATGCAAACAAATACACAACTGATTGCATAATAGCAACCAAATATCCTTACAAAAAAAAAAAAGACATGACATTAGTTTTGTTGTTGACATGTCATGGAGATGCTGCATTTTATTACAAAACTACTAAAATCATTTTAATTTATCTCCAAAAGTGCCCAAATTTTTTTGGAAAACAAACAAGTTTGTGTGCAGTAAAGTTGTTTGACGTTTGCAAGACTTTCTTTAACGTCGATATTTTACCCAAAACTGAAAATCTGTTCACTATTTACTCCCCTTTAAGTGCTTCCAAACCTTTATGAATTGTTTTCATAAAAAAACAGAGCCAAAAACAAAGAAACCACAAGGAAACATCTGATTGTTCTTTCGCCAAAATCATGTGCAAATTGCTGTTTTCATCGTGTAAAAAGCACCAAACATAATGGCCAGCAGCACACACCTACAGTGGATCATCTAGCCTAAATAAACCATAATTTATTAGCCTCCTCATCAGGTGGATAACGATAATTGCAAAAACAACCATTATTCAATACCGATATGCCTAATATATTGATGTATACCAATACATTCTGCATAACTACAGGTATCCGTTTGACTGTTTGCAGATGCTAATGAGGCTGACATACATACATAGCATGCCAACAATCGCTCATTTAGTGAATGTTAATGAACCCAACGTGTTTGCAGCAAAAACAAAGAAGGAACTGTTTATGGAACTGATATTTGCTTATGCGTTTGAGTGAGTTGGCTCAGGTGATCTGAGATTAATTACCATTTATTAATAAAAGATCATCTACGAGACATCGACTGATCTCCTCTGTTCCTATGGAGGTGTATGTGCTCTCATTCACAGATGAAAAGACCTTTGGCCTTTGTCTTGTTAGTTTAATGAGTCTGCCATCTCTCATTAAGCCACAGACAGCGCAGGAAAGCCTTTAATGCGCTCAGCCGCAGTTATAGGCAAACTTCCTGCCGATAATTCGGTTATGATTTCTTAAGATTGAATAAGGCGAGCTATAAATAGACGAGGTCAACAAAGCGAGCAAGCATTTCTCTTCATTTATGGTAAACAATACGAGTAAGAGATCAAATCTGTCGCTAATGCGAACTGATAACTCTCATTAGAAATCATCAGGGATCAACAAAATCTAGAAAAACTAATGTCTGTGGAGATGTTCAGCCCTAGAGGTTCAAATTACTGACTCTATTGTGCATATTAAATGGGCATTTATAAGATACGCAGACGCTGAGTCAAAGCATTCAAACACATTTGGGAAATATGAAGTGCAATAGTTAACTGCGCTACATTTGTTTTTGTGGTAGTTTATGATGTATCTTGTTCAGATCACGCACCTTAAGCATTGTTTTAAGACCTAAAGGTGTAAAACAAGTCAGGGAGTGTCTGAAAAGTGCAAAATACTCAAATATCTATACGTTTACACATTTCTTCTATGACCGTAGCCTAATGTGAATTATAAAATGGCCCTTTTTTCAATACAAATTTATAATGTAGGGTCACACTATATTTTGATGGTCTCTTTGTTGAATTTAAGTTACATTGCATCTACATGATAACTAATTCTCATTAGATTATATGTAGACTGTTAGGTTGGGGTTAGTGTAGGTTGACATGTACTTGCAAAGTTTCTTATAGTCAGTTAAATGTCTGTTGAAGGAGCAGTATAAGCAGATATTAAGCAGACAGTCTACTAATAATCAACTAGACCATCAAAATAAAGTGTTACCCGATGTAACAGCCGGCTACCAATAGTTTTTGGGAAAAAACTCAAAGGTTTGGAACCATGTGAAGTTGAGTAAATAGGTAACACGTTCTCATTTTGGGGTTAACTATCACCTTAAAATTGAAGAAAATAGCCAAAAGTCGATTATAAACAACTTTACTGCACACAAACTTATTTGTCTTCCAATTTTCCATTTTGTGTCCAACCATTTCTTCTGTGATTCTTCTGTGATTATAAAATGGTAAGTATTTTAAGCACCAAATATGTGAAACTTGAAATGGTGATCCTAACATAAGCAAAAATAGGGAGTGTCTCAAAAAATACAGTATGAAAGCAATGTTTTAACAACCAAAAATGTATTAGAAATGTAATATTTCTTCATGTATTTTTTCAAGTCGAAATTCTAATCATTTTGATTTTAACCAATTCCAAACTACATCATTACCAATAAAAATATTAATTTTGCATGGGAAATAATATGCTTTAAATATTGACTTGAATATGAACTGAATGCTATCATAATGTATCTTTTGAGACACTCCCTGCACATGTTAAGAACACCTTTTCAAGTTTTATATCTTTGGTGCTTAAAATACTTACCATTTTATAATCACAGAAGCATCACAGAAGAAATGGTTGAACAGAAAATGGAAAATTGGAAGACAAATAAGTTTGTGTGCAGTAAAGTTGTTTATAATCG